AGATTGTGAGTTCATATCGGTTGCGCCAACTTGTCTGTTTAATGATCCACGTGCCAAATGTCTGAAATCAAATGAATAAAAAAATTTTTTTAAGAATGCCTTACTCTCTTGTATATGTCTGGATTAAAAAAAATGAAATGAAATGATGAAATGATAGTTAACTTACCCTATCACCTCTTCCACACTATTAACTTTTATTTCTTGTAATCCACTCCAAATTATATTACCCTTTGAATCTTCTCGGATCATTACTTGTGGTTTGTTCTCATCATCACCTTCGGCTAGCAAATCAATCAAATCTTCATTATAGATTTCGATAAACGATACTTTTATTGTAATTTTACGGGATTTAAACTGGGTAGAATTTATATAAGAGAAGAGTGTGTAGAGGGCACGTGGAATTATACCACGTGACTCTGGATCCGAAGAGACATTATCGGATGTCCCCATTGTATGCGTTTTACCCGATGAAGTTTGACCATAAGCAAGAATAGTTACGTTGAAACCTTTTAAAAGTGAAAAATTAAAAATAAAATAAAATATTATTGTTTTGCTCTGTCTTTTTTCCCTTTCGACTCCGTGGTAGCACGTGATATCCTTATGAGTCGCGTCATTAGTGATATCATCCGTAGTAATTTTCAATGGTCAATACTGTACCTTCCAAGTACTTATCCACCATATTTCTAATGGCTTTATCGTAAATTTCCTTTTGCAGCGTTTCAGGGCCAAATACATAATCGAAGCTAAATGACTGTTTCTTATCACCATGAACAACAACTTGATTTGGCGTAAATGGAGAAGTAGATATGACATTTCTCTGAAATCTTGAAGGTAAAGTAACTAAATCTTCTTGTGTGAGAGGTCTTATACGAAGAGCTATGAAAACAAAGGATAGAGGTTAATTTTTTATCTTTGAACAAAGAGTAACCAATTGAATGATCAAATGTTGAAAAACGAGTTTATGCTTTGATTCTTACCTACTTGTACTGTCGTGTTTTCAGAAGTTGAATTAGTCATTTTGGTTTTTTTTTTTGATTGCTTGTTTGAAAAATTTTCAATACAAAGAACTCTTTAATTTCCTTTTAATTCTTTTAATTCTTTTTTTTTTTTGAAGTGCTTGAATGAAATAAATAAATAATTTTTTTTCCTGGAACCAGCCCAAGCAAAGAGAGACTAGTCAAAAAGAAAAAAAAAAAACGTTAAATATACTCTTATTTTTCGTCGATAAGTTTTTTTTTTTTTTTTTTTTTTTTTCACGCTAGGTCTTTTTTGTTTTTGAAATATGTACGTTAATTAAATTAAATTTTTATTTTTTAGTTTTTAGCAAAGCTTTTTCTTCAAAATAAAAAAAAAAAATAAAATAAAAAAAAAAAAGGATTATTTCTTCACAAGGATGATGATGTTCTTTATGAAAGGAGAGAAAAAAAAAAAAAAGTCTCGGAAGATTTTTTGGAAAGAAAGAAAAAAAAAAAAAAAAGGAATGTAGAGTTATGATAAGGGGAAAAAATAATTTAAACTTGTCGTTAATAAAAAAAGTTTGGTCGTATTTGCAGCTGGATTTGCAGATGGTTTTGTAAGTTCTTTAACTTTCTGCTCTTTTGTTTATGTGTAGCACAACTTAAACAATTTATTTTACTTTTCGAATCAATAATGAACGAATGAATGAGGATTGATTGTATTAGTAAATAGAAATTATTAAAGGGGAGGGTGGTAATAAAAATTTAAAAGGGAAAATGTTCGGAAGGAAAGGATTGTTTTAAAAAAAAAAGAATTTTTTATTTTTTTTTTTGGTTTATAAAATATTAATATGTATGTATATATATATAAGGTCACTTAGTCTCTTCTTACTTTTCGCAAATGCATTATTGGTGATTTGTTATGCATGGCATTGTCGTAAACAGTGATTAACCTTAGTTGGAATTCTTTGATGCGTTTCCTAATAAAAATTTTTACAATGTACATTAAAAAAAAGGGTTGGAGTAACAAAAAGATAAATTAATTGCATTTTTCCATTTTTGTCAAACTGTCTACATGAGGTTTTGTTGGTACATTCGAGTATAACGTAAAACAATCGATAATATTAAAAAAATTCATTAAAAAATAATTGAAATATACTGTACATACTTGTGCTTTGGTAAATGTACCAATCGTAATCCAAGTAAACTTTAAGCCCCACCACGTTTTGATTTTATTTATATATTAATACCATGTCACAACTTTCAATTTTTTCAATCAAACTTTAAAAAGGAAGAGAGAGATAGAGATAGAGGATAACCAATCAAAGATCTCATCATGTAAAAAAAAAAAAAATAACAAATATTCGGTAGATGCGCAATAATCAGTAAAGGGAAAAAAACATTTAACATTTTGGCGGGAGTGACCAGCATTGGATCAACAACTGTGTTTGGCGCAGTAGATTTCTAAAAGTAAAATTAAAATTACGGAAAATCTAATAATCTAAATTCGTGAAAAAGAATTTTTTCCCTCCTCCTTTAAATCTGTGTAAGCATAGATTAAACAATACATGCAACCTTCAAAACGTTCCCCTTGATACGTTAAAAGGTCAAAATTCCAACTTCTCGCTTCTCGTCTTCAAAAAGGCTATTCGAGCTTTGTTTATTTTTAATTGCATTGACAGGATTAGATAACCGATTAGAAAAACTTGTTAGGTCATATCAACTTCAGTTAATATATCAAGTAAATTCAAAAGGAGCTCTGAACACAACTTAATCGCGCATTTGCAAGATCGATTGAGACATACAAGAAAACTACGCATGATTATTCAAATAATGATTATGAATGGATTTGTAATCTACAAATCAAAAGAGACATGTCAAAATCAGAATCATACGAAAAAAAAAAAAAAAATTTTTTCCGTTTTTTTTTTTTTTTTTTTTTTTTTTTAATAAATCCGGATGTCGTATTCCATCAAAATGATGAAAATATTACATAAATCTTTATTAATATTTTTCTTACCAAGAAATCGTGCCCTTCGGATTATTTTTTTTGGGGGGGTGATATGACAACAAAAATAAAAATAAAACAATGTGGCGATTTTTTTTTCTTTTACTTTGCGTTATTTTTAAATTTTAATATTCATTCATTCATTGTAGATTAAATTCTTTGAAAATTTTTCAAAAGGGAAATTTGTAATGATGCGCTTCATGCGCCATGTACATTTCGTATCTTGATGATGATTCGATGACAATTTTTTTTTATGCCGAATTTGTCTAGACGACTTATCATGTGCGATCATTTTGTGTGGTGGAACGAAAACATCATCGAGAAACTTGCATTAGAATATTAGAATACCAATGACAAATGACACCAAAAAATAGTAGCACCAGTAATATTTACTTAATAATTTTTAATTTTCGAAAAAAAAAAAAAAAAGGAAAAAGGGAAATGGTTCTCAGAATTCGAAAATAAAAATATATATATATATATAGAACGAAATCATTGGTCACTACGCGCATGTACAAATCATGTGATAAATATCAAAGCGTAAGAAGGCCAAAAAAACTTTCATAAAATTTCAAATTTAATTAATTTTTCTTTTTTCCGAAAGATGGAGTGTTTCGCCCCCAAAACTTAAACACAGTTCATTCAATATAAATATTGTATGCATATTTAATCACTTTAAATTAATACTTAAATTAATTACCAAGTAATTGTTTAATAATTCAATTGAAAAATGTCATCAGAATACAATTCTTGAAACACGAGACAAATAATAAACAATAAAATCAAATGACTAAACCTAGGTTGTAGGCCGCAGTAAGAAATAATTCTTCTAGCAACACTTTCTCCCCAAAAATTAAATATCACCGTAATAATAATATACAAAGAGTGAGAACCGCATACATAAAAGATATTAATTTTATTAATACTTCTTGAAATTTGAGGTTTTTTTTTGTTCTATAATTTTATAAGCGAAAATTGTTAAAAACGGAAATTTATTACATAACTCGGGCCGGCATTATAATTCGATAAAATTTTTCGTAAGAAACCAATAAACCTGGAATTATGGATTCGCTATTTTCGTCGTGACTTGATTGATACATTAAAAAACGAGTCAAATTTTAAATTCTTTCAGCAAAAGTGACATTTTGATCTCGACTAAAGTATAGTTGCCTGGTAAAACTCTCGGCACTTTTGGCAGGTTTCGACGGGGTTATTGGCAAAACTTATAATAAAATTTTATTGGCAAAACCGTCAAACTCGAAACAGGTCAAAATCTTTGTTGTGGTACGCTCGAAGAAAGTTTACTGAGCCAAAATCTTATCAATTAAGAGTCGCTGGTTGACTTCAACACGTTCCTCCTAATTTGAAAGAAATTTATTTTAAAAGCGTCTAGAGACATTGAGGATTATTAAGAAGATAATAAATAATAAGTCTTTTAAAAATGCCGTTATCAATTGATTTTTTTATGTTAATTAATTACGATCGGAATATCTTACATAATTAGTCGGAACGAAGTGAAAGACTATAGTCTATGCAAAGTGTCCTGATGTCCGCCCTCTCTCGATGCTTGATTGGCTTTTGCAATTGAACAAAAGTATCGATAAAGCAAATACCATTGTGAATTTTTTTTTTTAGTTAAGACGGACTTAACTAGGGATTAGAATCGATTTCGATATTTAGAATCGATTTGAGAATCGATTTAATCGCGATTATCGTTTCTCCAAGATTCGACTCTAAGATTCGATTTTCGATTTCGATTAATCGAATATAATCGATTCATTTAGTTAGGTGCTTGAGAACACTCTAAATCCGGAAAATAAAAATAAAATATTAAATTAAAAAAAAGTAGGGGATATATATATGCAAATTAAAAAAATAATTAAAAAATATTAAAATAAAATTAAAAATTAGAACGCGCCTTCGTATTGTTTGACTTTTTAATTTTTACGTTAGCTAAATTTTTAATTAGTACATAAAGTTAATAATTTAATATTTATTATAGTAATATTATTTAATATTATCGTTATAATTTGAAATCAACTTAGCATTACGTTTATTAGACATAATATTATATGAAATTAGACCTTTATCACATCCTCGATTAGGTATATTATATTTTTTATGGACATAAATGGTAGTAAATCTAATTTGTATCCTCTGTAATAAATTAATATAAATAATTTTATTTTAAATAAAAGAAATAAAAATAAAAAATTTACATACTGTAAGATAGCGGTTAATAACTTGAGATCCCTTCCACGACAATTGCATAATGCATGAGCTGCTTCTGTAACATTTGTATTATTAGGTGATGTTATCCAAACTTCATTAGCAATTTTTGACATACATTTATTAAGTGATTCGATAATCCATTTTTGACGATAAAATATAATCCAATCTAAAATAATGCCATTTAATATTATAATAAAAATTTATTTAATTAATTTTTACTAACCTGTTGCACTTTCTTCAATTGCTTGAATATCATCAAATAATTGATTAACAGCATTTTCTAATTCAGCTGTAAGAAGCGTGAGCATTTTGTTTTTTATAATATCACTAAACTCCTTTTCTTGAATTTTTCTATATATTAATATTAAATAAATTAGTTTTATTTAAATAAAAAAATTTATCTATAAATAATTTACCTTTTATAATGAACTAGACATGATTTAAAAATATGAACCAAGTGCTCCTTCCAATCCTTTGTATTATCAATTTCATTTAAAACTAATCCAAGTCCTTTAGCTTATGCATAATCTAAACCTGCAATAATACAATTCCAGCCAGATCCATTAATATGTTCAAATTTAGGGGATAAACCTGTTAATTGAAATACAAGGTCAAATAATATACGAAAAATTCTTTAGTATGCAACTGTAATTACATAATTTGTAAAAATATAGGCAAATGTAAGAACTAAAATAAATAAAATAAATATCAATTAATATATATATAATTTTAAATAATATATAATACTAATTTTTATTATACAATAAAAAACTTACTTAGATTATATTCATTATTATAATAATTAACTTCAAATTCGTTCATTTTACCTAATACACATTTAAAAGATAAATTAATTTAAAAATGCTTGCATTTTGTCCACTCAGTTAATTGTTTAGGAGTTGTACAAACAATTAATATATGTTTTTTTTTAAAGAATTCTAATAATAAATATATTATTTATTTAAATTACTATTAAATAAAATAAATACAAAATGTAAATTTTATTTTTAATATTACCTAAACGTTTTACATAATCACAAAAATTATTAATATTACATGAATAGTTATAAATAACTTCAAGCAATCTATATCCTTGTGGATGAATTTCTTTTTGAATTTTATTAACGTAATACTGAAAACGATCAGTATTATTTAAAAATGCATGTATATCAGAAAGATATTCAACTCCAAAATATGTTTTAATTAAATTTTCTATTAATAAATAAAATTCATTTAGTATAAATCTAAGAAATTTTTGAATAAAAAATCTAATATAATAAATAAATATAAATATGTTTTTTTTAATTATTTACCCATGATAATATGAGTTGAAGTAATATTTGTTTTATCATTTATTGCTTAATAAATTAATTCTTATAAGTGTATATAAATGATACTAGATACTTGATTTAGAGGTAGTGATAGATGAGTATAAATGCTTTTTAATATAAGAATTATATATAGACATTTTTCAAGATCAATAGGAATTAATTTAGAATATTTAATTTCATATGACTTTTTTATAAATGATCCTTGCTTAATGATATTTCCAGAATGGTAAGGATGTATTACCAATATATATTTTATATAAATTAAGTAATTTAGCAGTAAAATTTTAAAAATTATATATTAAAATTAAATAACTTATAATAATATATTCTCTTTATATTATTGCTAAATATTTCAAAATAGTTATTCATCTATTCATCTGATTTCTCCTAAAATATTTTTAAATTAAGTTAGATAAATAAATAAAAATATTAATTTAATATTTAAGATAGTTATATTTAATCTCATATAATTCGTCTAAAAGTTGCTGAAGCAAATTCAGATCTATATTTTCTTTAATACTAATAAACTGATGAAATCTTTTATTTATCTTTTATCTGATACAACTAATAAAATATGATGGTGATACTATTTGATCATAACATCATAAATATTTTAATATATGTTTACCTGTACAGTCAACTCTTATTATAACGAACTCTATGTCCTAGACCTCAACTTCGCTATAAGGTTATAGTGAAGATTTTAAGAGATTTAATTGGCCAATTCACTATAATAAGAGTATTTTTATTATATTTGTTTAAAAATTTGTTATATCAAGAATTCGTTATATCAAGAGTTGACTGTACATTAAATTCTATTTTATATATATTGGCATTCAGTTTTATATGCAGCCAAATATTTACTAAAATAAAATTAATTAGTAGATTTTATAAAAAATAATCGCTATTATGTATAATAGATATATTATATAAATACTTACACAAAAGTATATTTTTCATGCTATTAGTTGATAATTCTTCATTCATTTTTAATCTTAAATCTGATTCTAGATCTATTGACTTATGTTTCATTTCTCGAAGTTCTAAATCTACAAATTCGCACATTTTAACTTCATGATAAGTCTTATCTTTTTTAATTACAACAATATTACCAAGATAAGTACAAGTTGTTTTATTTTAATCAAAAGGTAAATCCATAAAATATTGAATCTTTAAATATTAACAATTATTAGTATTATTTTAATTATATTAAATAATTTAAAATAAATATTACATCTACAAATATCATTTCTATATTTTTTCATCCTTTAATATGATAAATTATAACAGTTTCTTCTTCACTTATTGACTATAGAGTTAATGAATGAATAATTATTTTAACATATATTTTTTGTAATATATATTTTTGTATCATCTTCAGTTAAAGATATATTATCTGACTATATTTTATGATTAAATAATTTTTTTATTATAGTATAGTTTACTTTATAAATATATACATATAAATAGCAAGATTATCTTAAAAATAAGATCTTTTTTATAAATGATATTTTTCTCATTAACATAATTAGTATCTGACATGTTTATTTGAAGAAAACATCTGTTTAATATGAAAATAGTAAATGGTATTTTAACGTGTAAAAAAATTTTTCTCTCCTGATTTTATTTTATGTATGATTGATCTGATTATAACAATAAAATGATCAGATATAAATTGTATATCACTTCTAATTTCATATAACCATATAATACTCAATAGGTTGATCTAATTCTATAACTTTTTGTATCACTTTCTTGTCAACTACTATCATAATACTAATAATAATCGCATATAAAAAAAAAGTATCACAGACTTAGAAACTGCAGATATTTCTTCAGATTATGTAATAGTTGATGATTTCTTACTGAAGAAGAACTTGATTTTTTACCTGTCAAAGCTTCAGATCTAAAGATTAGTTAGGAATCTATAGACGCCTCTATATGTGGTAATATTAATAACAGTTCTTACTGGTAAAATAATTTATATTTTCTTGTTTATTTAGTTTACTAGTAATATTATCCTAAAAGAGATATTTCTTTTTATTTGTAGTAATATGATACTCAGCATTTTTTGTTTTCATTTGTCAATAAGAATGTGAAGCTGAACATCAGAGAATTTGATAGATCATTGCAAGATTAATATAAAGATCAAGATAAATAAAAGCTCATTAGATAAACGTCTCATGATTTATAGCTAGCTAATAGCTCTTAAAAAATGATAGTCAGATTTTATTTGCTGGGTCACATATACTTATTAAGGGTGATATATAATTGTGATAATTAGTATTTTTCTATCAAAATAATTTCTAAATTCCTAAAATACTTAGTAAATTGAAGAATGACTGGAATAATGTGATGTAATAAATTTATTAATCCTTTTAAATTAATCCTAATTCTACCCTAATCCTAAACCTAATCTAAACCCTATGATGCATAATATCTAAGATTATCAAAAAATTTGACATAAATTCTAAATATATCTAATTTTTTAATTTATATGTTATTAGAAAATTAAACTAATTTTTATATAATTTATGTTATATTCTTTTAAAATATTAGCTTATATTTTTAGATTAGCTTAATTATTTAAAAAGTTATTAGAGTTTAAAAATAAAATACTATATTAATAATTAGCTAGATTTTGACTGATTTTATAGGAGTATTTATCCCTTAAACTATAGAGATTTACAAGCAAATTTACCTGCTTATTTACTATAAATTCACTTCTGATTTACTTTTATGAAAAATTTTATTTTTAAATTAATTTTATAAATATATATAATATTATAGTAAATTTTATTTTTTAATTATATAATAAATAATTTAAAGTTACTTATAAGCTAAAAATTTGTAATTTTTAAAAAAATTATAAATTAAAAA